AATGCTCTATTTCACGGGTGGGGTGTTTCACAATGAAAAAAATGTAAAAGACGCAGAAGCAGAGGTGAAAGCGCTGGGGCCAAGGGGCCTCTGCTATGAACTGATGCAGGAACACAGCCCTGGAGTTTAGCCAAATGCCAGGGACAGGGACTCGAGTGGTGACAGATGCAGGAGCTGTAGGCTGAGGGGGCAGCTGTGTCCACAACCACCCTGCAGGAGGTGGGTGAGGGTGGGGGACAGGCAGGAGTCGGAGTCCTGGAAGGCTCCTCCTACTCACCTGTCTCAGAAGCAGCTAGACAGGGCCCAGGACAGGTTCTGGGCGCTGCCACCTTAGGACAGAACCCAAGATAGGCAAGGAGGCCACAATGGCTTGTGGAGGCAGCAACACTGCTCTTGTAGAATCCTGGAGCTCTGTGTTACATGAGCTCTGTGCTTCCTGGAGGTACATTTTCAAATGTACTCTCATGAAAATGTACCTCTCGTAGAATCCTGGGCCCCTCCCCAGGCTGCACCGCCTGTGTTGGAATCAGCGCTGACCCAGGTCTGATATCCCCTCTGCCACTCAGCTGCCACTGCAGCACTTGGCCTCCTGACACAGCTCCCCAATCCCTTGTACCCTCTTCCCCCAGCACCCAGCAAGCATAACCACATTCATGGAAGGAATGAGAGCGCCTCATTCTCTTGCCCTTCCTGAGGCTGTCACCACATCTAAACCAGGCCACCCAAATGCCCTTCTATCCGTGCCGTTGGCCTAGACTTCAGCACCAGGACAGAGGTAACTCCCTGCACGGTCAGAGCCAGCACAGCTGCCCCAGAACCTTCCTCATCCCCATTTGTGCATGAGATTCCCACAGTTCATTCTCATCCTCCCTTGAGACCATCTTCTGTCCTCTCAAAACCTCAGCCCTCCCACCAAGGGGCCAGCCGGGTGCCAGAAAGATGTTCTTGGGCTGCAGCCGCCACCCCAGTACCCAGCTTGCATGCTGTACACAGCCTGTGCGGCATCTCAGCACTGGCTGTCTGCAATGAATGTGTGAAGGGGCAGCTGTATTACATCAGCAGAGAAACGGTGCACCTGAAGTCACAGGACAGGTGTGCTGGTAATTATCCGAATGTAATTCACAGCAAACTTGTGGTAATTCAATTTGAAAATGTACCTCTGTGCACCACACAGTCATGGAGAGCCATGAAAGATCCTCCAGGAAGCACAGAGTTCATCGACCCCATTAGATCTGCTCACAGCAGAGGCTTCTGTGTCCAAGTCAGGGATGTGACCAGAGACAAGCCAGAGAGTGGGCCAGGTAGGGACACAGGTGGCCACTTCACAGCAGCTAGGGTGATGGTGCAGCCAGCTCGCAGGAACCCCACGGGGAAACCAGCCTGGGCACCACACCACAGTGAGATGCTGTAGCCAGCCTCACTGTGCTATCGCAGCCCTGGACATGGGCCACTGTGCAGGAGAAGGCAGAGCCCTGGCTGAGGTACTGGCAGCCTGAGGAGGCATCTCTTCCAGTCCAAGTCCCAGGGGCTGAGGCCATGCACTCAGGTCCACACCAGGAGCACCCCATCCTACAGCTGTGGAGAGACTAGAGGCAGCAGGAAGCATGCCAAGACCCCAGCAGGACATTAGTTCATGTAGCCCAAAGCCCACAGCCACACAGCTAGCCCCAGAAGCAGCCCTGTTCTACCTGCTTCCCTTCTGGGGGTCACGGCTGCAGGAAGGCAGCTGAGAGACTGCTGCTCCTTGCACTGACCTCACGGCATAGTCTATACGATGTGCCCCAGTGAATCCCTCACGCACCACACACAAGGGCCCCGAGGACAAGCAGCTGCTGGGAGAAGCGGAGTCTGCGAGGCTGACAAAAATGCAGCTCACTACACCCCAGTATTCCTGGCTCCGAGGGCCCATGCACCTTCCATGACATTGCGAAGCCTCAGTTTCCCACTCAAGTGAGCCCTCCAAAGGAACCTTCCAGAGCAGCCGCCCCTCCCACCTCTGTGTGACCCCCATCCAGGTATGATCCATGCCCCCTTACTGAGACCCAGCCCGGCCTGGAGAAGTGAAGCCTGGAATCATCAGCCTGGAACTGATGACTGATGGACATTTTCAACAGACGTGATATATTCAGTAAAAAGCTCATTTAACAGAAAGAAAAAAGCACAAGCACCTTTGTGGTCAGGACACATGAGCTGAGGGCTCTCCGGCCATCAGCACGCTGGATTTGCTTCTGCTCAGGTGTTCACTGAAAACGCACAACTGTCTTAGTCTGCAATACTGACTGCCTTCTTCCTAGCCTCTCGTTCCCACAGGCTTTCCCCTTTGTGGCTTTGTTTTCACCGTTCCGGTGCAGACATTCCTGTCCTTCGTATCAAGTTGTCTGACTTAATGTCAACGTTCGTTCATGTTTTGTAACCAACGACAAAGACGTCTCTGTCTGTCTTCAGGCCCTGCATGAGGGTTCTCGGGAGGCAGTGTTGGCCCTGGAGCCCTCCCAGGCCAGGCTCCCACCACTGTCCCTCTCTGGCATCCACTGCCCAATGCCCAGCAAACATGCCCTATCCCTGGCAGGGCTGTGACCGAATCCTGCTTGTCCAAGAACTTCTAACCTCCCCCGGCCCAGGGCAGCAGTGCCCCACAGAATACTTCCAGGCTAGAAACGTCCCTCGTTAGTCAAGAACCACTAACCACACTTGGTACTGAGCACTTGAAATGTGGCCAGTGGGACTCAGAAAGTGGATTTTAAATTTTAATTACTTATATTTTAACAGCACATGTGGGCAGTGGCTATTTTACTGGATGGCAGACACCTGAGAAATCAAGTCAGAATAATGTAGATCCATCCCACCTGCTGTGCCTGTCCCCACATCCCACACAGTCCCCATTCCATCACTGACCGCCTGGCATTGTGGGCATGGCCTCTCCTTCCACCGCTGCACCTGGACCACTCCCAGCCCTCTCCGCCTGTGCCTGCGGCTCTGTCTCTCCTGCCTCTCATTCCGGCCGACTCAGGGCCTCCTCCAATGAGGCCCAGATGACACCCCAGCACAAAGGGCACTTCTGCTGCCCTCCCCAACCCACTCCTCATCCACAGGGGTGAAGATGATGGGAGGAGCAGGAGGAAGAGAAGAGGTGGAAAGGTACCCCCCACCCACCTTTCTAGATAAGAAAGTCTCAGGTCTCAGAGACTGAATACAACAGTGCCCCCAAACAAAAGGAAAGGCAAAGCTCCCAAACCCAAAGCCACCACACACTGACACAAAGTCAGCAAGAGTCCAGCAAAGCAAATGAGGCCTTTCCCACAGGGAAAGGTCAGAGGTCCTGGGGTTGCCCTCCGAATTCCTGCGCTATACTGGCTCAGAGCTGCTAATCCCCAGTTGCTGTGTCCTTGAGGGGATTCCCACTTAGGCTACCCCTGTGCAGCAGTGCCCCACAGAATTCCCCAGGCAGATGTGGCCGGCTGTGAACCCTCAGCTGCCCATGCCCACCTGGATGGCACCGCTGCCCCCGCTGGCCTCGCAGTCCCCTCCAGAGCAAGCCCCCTCTGCCCACTTTTGCTCTCATCCTTGGAAGCCGCAAGCTGCCGACACCTGCACCCGCACCCCATCTGAGTCCCGCTTACCATCTCCTGGGCCACCTCATCTGGCGTCTCCTTCTCCAAGTCGAAGGTAAACTCTATGGCCCCATTGTCCTTGGGCTTTCCCTTCAGTTTCTTGGGGTCTTCGACCCAGAGCCGCAGGGCAATGGTGGACTTCCTGCCGTGGTCCTCCTCCGCGAGCTCCACCCTCACGCCCGTGTCCTCTGCGAAGAAGGCGTGGCTCAGCAGGTCTTTGATCTCGTACCTGGAGGGAGAGTGGCTGACAGGCAGGGGCACGGGCGCCAGGGCCTCCATGCCCAGGCTCCTGTGGCCACGCGCACCAGGGCAAGGACAGGCACAGCTGCAGGCGCCTGAGGCCAGGCCTCGCGTCTCAGCACTCCCAGGAGTGAGGAAAAGATTTCAGTGAATCCGGTCTTACTATTAATACATAGTGTTTTAAGACTTCCTTCTTTCCCCTCATTATTAAAAAAAATGCTCATAAAAGATTCAGTGATACAAAAGAGAACTTGGGAAAACATCAGTCCTCCCATTATGCAAATACAGCCCCTGGGGAAGTGCTAGCCTGCTTTCAATTGTTAGAAGATACAACTGAAACATTTTAGTATTTAGTCCCGGGTAGGTTTAAAATGGACACGGAGGCGGAGCCCCCACACTCTCAGCTCCCTGCGCCCAGTGCCATGAAGCAGTGACCTTTTCAAGGACGCCGGCCAGGTGACAGAGAGCAGAGCAGAGGGCGCGTTAGAGGAGAGTGAAGACCTGCAGAACTGGGGGCCCCCAGTTAGACACAGCCTCGAAGGCTCTATGCAAGATCTGGAGGGGCGGGCCACAGGGTGTGGCCACGGTGACCACTTCGGGGCTCTGCAGGGCTTGGGCACCCAAACAAGCCTCCCTAACCACTAATCTAACCCCGTTTATCCTGTAAATGGAACAACACAGCACACATCCTTGGGGCCTAACTTCCTCTGTGTGTGCTCCAGAGTCACCCGCGTGGTTTCAAGCCTCCACAATCCATCCCTGCTGACTGCTGACAGGTGTCACATCAGATGGTGGACGTACTCTAGTGTGAGGGGGAAGGAGGGCTGAGAAAGCACCCCCAGCCTTCCCCCTGACCGGCTGGGAAGGATGGGCCCTGCTTGGAGGTGGGGAGTGGCTCCAGGCCCGCTGTTTTTGAGAAGGGTCAAACAACCAGGTCCATGAAATACACATCAGGGTTCAAAAGGGAGGCCCACACCTGGAGCGCCTGGTATGGGGATGTTCTTCAAGGCATGCAAATCACGCTGAGAGAAGCAGAGGGGCTGGGGAAGCCCCAGGAGCTCAGATGCTTACAGGCTGGATCCTGCAGGAGCAGACAGCCAAGGACGAGGCTGTCCCCAATGCCAAGGAGCGGGTTCCCAGATGGCCGACAAGGACTTGGGGGCCTGGCCTGCTGTCACCCACACGCACCCAGGACCGACGTGCCCAGCAGCCCCTGCTGACATGCTACAGACACCCTGACCTGAGCCTGCCTGTCTTGAAGTCCTCTCATCAAGAACACAGCTCTCAATGCCAGCCGAAATGAGTTCAGCTGGAGAGAGACCCCAGAATGCAACCCTTCAGGGGAACTCACCTTTCCTCCTTGTTTTTGCAGATACACTCCCCAATAATCTCCTTGATTTCGGGATCGTGCACTTTCTCAAAGCTGGCCGGCTTGATACCCTGACATGGAGAGAGCAGAGTTACCTGACCCATCAGCCGCCCGAAGGCAAGGCCTCCACCACAGAGGGAGGAACTCCCACTTTCCGCCACGGCAGGACATGGGCACTGAACTTAACCTACACAAACTACTAGAAAACTGGGCAAAATATGCGAAACAGATGACAGGGCAGTGCCAACGTGGGCTCTGAGAGAAAGGGACACAATCCCCCACAGCCCCAGCTCACTGCCCAGAGCAGTTCCCAGACAGGGCACTGTAACCCAGCAGAGCCCAGCAGCCCACTGAGTTGAGGAGTAGAACTGAGTTCAGGGAGGCTGAGGAGGCCACAGGCAGAGTTCCAGAAGGAAGAGAATACACAGCAAAAAAAAAGAGCCCCAAGTATCTGCAACTGGGTCCCCTCCGGGCTTTACTGAGGACCAGACCACAAGACCACATGTGCATAGTCAATGCCATAGGGCCAGGCAAAGAATCACAGGAAGCTACAGGTTGGGTAATTCGCAGAGTTCACACAGATCAGATGTGTACAATGTATAGCATCCAATCAAAAATTACTAGAAATGCTGAGATGCAAGGAAAAAGTGACCCATGACACTGCAGCAACGCCACCCAACGGAAAGAGACCTACTAATGAGAGGGGCTGCAACTTGTAGACAAGGAGGTTAAAACTCTTTCCAGATATATACAAGTAGTAAAGGAAAATCAACATACAGAAATGAGAGATAAAAACTGAAAATAGAACTCAAGATGAAAAGCATATCTGAATTGAAAGCTTCCCTGCAGCAGACTGACAGCAGATTACACACTGCAGAAAAAAGACAAGTGACGCTGAAGATGTGGTGCCGCAGAGAAAGATGGTCACTGAGGCTCTGTTCCATTCATTTCAGAATCTGGGATGCACATGACATCCATAAGACTGGAGTCCCAAAAGGACAGGATGGGGGGACATAAAAAAAGACTTGAAGAAATAATGGCTAAAAATTTCACTATTTGATGGAAACTCTATGGCCAGAGATGTAGCAAGATAAAGCAGAACAAGGAATAAATTGGAGAATTCTGTGAAACCACTGGGATTCCCTTCCAAGTCTCCCCTCCCCACTGCTTGAAGTCAGGAGCCTGGTCTCCTACCATTTAGAACCTTGTTGGGTCACCCCACATCCGTCAAAGCCACCATCATCCCAGCCACAACACACTGCACACCTCCACCTAAGCTGCAGAATTTGATACTGGGGTTAACACCTCAAATGTAGCAGTTGGCCTCTGGAAAGGTGTTGATCAGAGCTTGGCTGCAGAGCCACCCACACAGGGCCACAAGGGCCCCTGTGCCAGGAGGCCAGCAAAGGCAGCACCATGATGCAGTGGATAGGATGCCTCCCACAGAGCTGGGACTTTCTAACCACACCTGGGCTTCCTCCCCATACCTCCTCCTTGAGGGAGCAGGAGCACTATTCGTGGTCACTGCTGCTAACTAAGGATCACGCCATGCAGCTTTGTTGGGAGGGGTGCAGGTGGCAGCCTGAGGGACAGTGGCCCCTCAGCCAGCTGATGGCTGTGCATGAAGGGAGCAGAGGGCAAGCCCCACAACCGGACTCGAACTCATAAGCAGCAGGGCGGGGCCAGGTGCCCCTTGAGATCTCCTAGGTTGTTGGAAATGGAGTAAGACGGTGTATAAGCAACTAATTTAAAGAAATTTTAAACACAATGAGAGTACCAACCATCATATTCCTCCTCCTTCAATATGGTTTAGATTTCAAAAGCTTCACCTGACTCTTCTTAATATAGAGAACATAAAGCATACATTTTCCCAAAGTCAGGAAGAAGGTGGGGGCACGCCCTTCTGCCCTGACTGCCGGAGAACCCAGCCTGGGGCAGACACAGGGGTGAAGAACCCCAGGGGATCAGCCCAGGAGTGTACACCTCAAGGGTCGAGGAGTACCACCAGCCCCTGGGGTGGCTCCCGGACAGACCACCATCCACCCTCCATGGTGAATCCAGGGGCCTTCCCACCCCACACCAGCACCCCGAGGCCTGGCAAATGGAGCCCTTGATCTCTGGAGTGCCCCCACTTCCTCCTGCTGCAGATCATCCCTGCCTCCCTGGAAGGCCGCTGCCTATAGCCAGCAGGTCCCCACTTCTTCCAGCACCCATGGAAAACTGTGCACCTGTCTGTGAAGTCTGTGACCCAGGCCCACAAGTGCCACCTAGCAAGGACTCTGTCTGCCCTCCCACTTCCTCAGGGGCACACAGGAGGGGCTCAGAACAACCCAGTGACTGACGATTTACACCAACCATGGGAGAGAAACGCAAGTCATCTGAAAAGAGGGCTGGGGATGGAGTGATGGGCCAAGGTGAGGCTGCGCAGCTGCTGAGGACCACAGCCCTGGTGCACCTGCAGAAGCAGCCCTGAGGGGCAGTGGGGCCCCACCCAGTCAGGTGGCGTGTGGAGACAGCGGGGACTGCAGGGATCAGGGCAGCATGGGACCTCAGTGTGGACGCCGCGTGTCAGGAACAGCTCTGCAAGCCCCTGGGCTTCACTACAAGAGCAGATGGACAGTGCAGAAAACCGGCACGGAAAGCCTCAGTCCAGCCATTCCATTTCCAGATGTTCTGTTTACATTCCCTCCACCCAGCGGGAACGCCACAAAGGGAGGACAAGGCCGATCTGTTTATGCAGCTGAAGCCGTCTGATTAAAGAAAAAAATCACAGCGACAGCAAAACAGGGATTAACGTTCCCAGCTGCCCAGTGCTGATGACTGCCTAGAGACACACTCAGTCTAGGTTTAGCTGAAAAAGAAATCAAACCATTGTTTCTAAATAAAGAAGATAGGAAAGCAGGCAGCACTGGGCAGCCCAGAGTGTGGGTGCTAGGGACGGGCGGCCTGGGCACGCCTCCAGGCAGGGATCTATGGTGAAGCTCCAGCCTCTGGGCCTCAGTCTCCCCAATGTCCCTGCTGTGAGATCAACAGCCTCCGTGGCTAGGCACTGCCCACAGTGCCCCATGCACTGCCATTGCTGCAGACAGGAGACCTTGCTTGAGTAACCACCGCCCTACTAAGCCTCAGTTTCCCCCTCTATAAAATGGCCCATCTCCTTCCTTACACAGCTGCCAGGAGGACTTTACAGAGGCACCTGGTGCCCAGCCCAGGGCACGGCCCACAGCCTTCATGTCCTTATTAATGAACCAAGGGGCCAGGTGGACTCACACAGGTGACCTTGCGGTAGATCTGTGCCGCATTCTGGCACTCCGAGTAGGGGTACTCCGAGGTGGCCATCTCCAGCATGCACATCCCAAAGGCATAGACATCCACGGATTCATCGTAGTGCTCCTCATACATCTCGGGCGCCATGAACTCAGGGGTACCTGTGCACGGGAGCAAGAGACGCAGCGGTCAGCTGGCCACGGGCCCAGGAACAGCTGGAGCCAGTGTCCCAGGAGCTTTGGTTGCCCAGAGCCCCATGTCCCCTCCTCATCCCATAGCACACTCAGAACGCCTAGATCCCAGAGCCAGCCCTGCCCCTCACTTAAGACACAGGTGTGCTCTACAGACAGAGAATTCCAACAGTTCCAGCAGGAACCGCAAGAGTCCAGGATTAGAAATCTGGTGACAGAGCCATCCCCTGCTCATGAGCTGGGAGGCCATGACGTCCCAGGGGATGGGGTCTGAGCCTGGAAGGAAAGAAAGCCCTGAGCACACCCTCGCTTGTGGACACTGTGATCCTGCCACAGACTCAGCCACAGCCACACTCAGACATCCTGGAGCAGAAAGAACTTGGGTCGCCACAGAGCTACCTAAAGCCACAAAACCCCTAATGTCCCAAGGCGGGGAAAAGCTGGGTCCACTCAGCCCGCCCCCATGACAGTGTGATGTAGCATGTCCAACAATCAGCACCACTGAAGACGGCGCCCCTGAATGGGGGTCGGGCAGAGCATGGAACCCACCTGACAGAACCACAGATTGCTAAGATGAGAGCCGCATGGGGCTCTTAAACATAAGAGATGCAAAAGCAGTGTCTTCACTGAATTTTTAAGGACACGGCAAAGTTATGATAGGCTGAGCAAAACGAGCATGAGGCTAGACGTGCTGGCTGGACTCCCCTGTGCAAAACCAAACGCCCAGGGCGAAACAATGTCTGCAGGGGGCAAGGGCTGATTTTTTTTTTCTTTTTTACTTATATTGGTCTAGGGTTTCTCTATTCTCTATAATAAGCTTTTGCTTTTGTAACACAGCCACTGCAAAGGCCTTTTTATTAAAATACATCCAGTTGCATGTCTGTCACACTGAATGCAAAGAAAGGGGACCAGAGACTTCAGTACGGGTGCTTTTAACATCTGGTTATTTGCTGACTTTGGAAGGCTTTCAAAATGTTCTAGTTTCTTTTAAAAATCTCATGCTAACTAATTAGTGCATTTTAAAAGCACATGTTTTGTTTACCCATCATTTCGATTTAAAATGTGTTAATTTTTTTTTTTTTGAGACGGAATCACACTCTGTCATCCAGGCTGGAGTACAATGGTGCAATCTCAGTTCACTGCAACCTCTGCCTCCCAGATTCAAGCGATTCTACTGCATCAGCCTCCCAAGTAGCTGGGACTACAGGCACACACCGCCATGCCCAGCTAATTTTTTTTGTATGTTTAGTAGAGATGGGGATTCACCACGTTGGTTAGGCTGGTCTCGAACTCCTGACCTCAAATGATCCGCCCTCCTTGGCCTCCCAAAGTGCAGTGATTACAGGTGTGAGCCACCATGTCTGGCCATTTTTTTTTAAGTTAACATTCTGGATAAAAATTGGGACAAGAATGTCGTTTAGATTTCAGTCTATGCACACGGAACTCTGGGAGAACCCACGAGAAACAACAGGAGCTGAGTGGAGGGACCTGACACTGGGAATTTTTATTTACTTATTTAGTTAGTTAGTTAGTTAGTTATTGAGACAGAGTCGTGTTCTGTCGCCAGGCGCCAGGCTGGAGTGCAGTGGCGCGATCTCGGCTCACTGCAACCTCCGCCTCCCAGGTTCAAGCAATTCTCCTGCCTCAGCCTCCTGAGTAGCTGGGACTACAGGCGCATGCCACCATGCCCAGCTAATTTTTGTATTTTAGTGGAGATAGGGTTTCACCATGTTGGCCAGGATGGTCTCGATCTCATGACCTCATGATCTACACGCCTTGGCCTCCCAAAGTGGTGGGATTACAGGCGTGAGCCACCATGCCCGGCCTGGGAACTTTTATTCTTTTGGGTTTTTTAACCACATGATTATACTGAAAATTTGCTGCACTAGCAATTTTTTTTTTTGAGACAGGATCATGCTCTGTTGCCCAGGCTTCAGTGCAGTGGCACAAACACAGCTCACTGCAGCCTCAACCTCCCAGTCTTCAGCAATCCTCCTACCGCAGCCTCCCAAGTAGCTGGAACCACAGGTGTTCACCAGGCTGGGCTAATTTCTTTTCTTTTCTTTCTGTTCTTTTCCCCTCCCTCCCTTCCTTCCTTTCTTTTTTCCTTTCGTTTTTTTTTTTTTAATAGAGACAGGAGTCTCACTATGTTGCCTAGGCTGGTCTGAAATTCCTGAGCTTGACCTTCTGCTTCAGCCTCTTAAAGTGCTGGGATTACAGGCATGAGCTATGGTGCCTGGCCCTGCGCGATAATTTTTAAGTTAGTAGTTTGAAGTTTCTTTCCTTTCCTAGGCTTGTCACTGAATAGCAAATGTGCTGCCCTGGTTGGAGCAGGAAGCAAAAATGCCACAAAAGCCCCAGACAGGAGGCCACAGAGAGGAGTGGCCTGAACTATGGCTGTGAGCCCGGCCTGGTCACAATGTGAACACCTGCTCCTAGGCCTCTCCTACTCTCTTGATGTGTCCGGGGTCCCCTGGCAGCCACCTGTAGGGACTCACCACCTGCTGCATGGGCTGGACCACGACAGCCACCAAGGGGGCCCTCCTGATGGCAGTGGGCACACAGGGAGATGTAACGGCTGACTCAGGGGGGAGCCCTAAGCCACAGGAGGGAAGCACTCGCTCCCCAGGGCCACCTCCATTGTCCACAGTGACACCCACGCCACCCAAGCCCTGTGACTGCAGAGAGGGACTGCTGCAAAGCTCCTTCCTGCTAGGAGGGGGTGATGGGGAGCCCCAAGGCCACATCCTAGGCCCTCGGCCTGGCCACATCTTAAAGGGAGTCCCAACCCCAGGACTGCTGGGCAGGAAGCCAGCCAGCCACTCTCTGGCACCTCCAGCGACCCCCAGTGATCTGGCTGCCAGTAAAGCACTGGGGCTCAGACAGAGGTGACAGTGTCCCTGGGATCCAGCTCTTCTGAGACTCTCAGGAACTGAGGACACTGCTCTGTAGGAACTACTCCAATGCCCCAGAGAACCTGGCTCTTGGGGTGGGCCACAGGCATGAGGGGCATCTCTGAGAAGGGGCAGAGGAACCTTCATGAAGCCCACTCTTGTACATGTTTAGACGCCAGTGCTCAGACACCAATGCACTCAGACTCTTTTTATCTTTCTTTCAAATTATAGTCACTTAAATCTGAATTCTAAAAGTGTGTGTGTGTTTGAGTGTGTGTGTGTGAGTGTGTGTGTGTCTGTCTGTCAGTAGACAGTCTTACCCACTGCCACCCACTCTGTGGACGGCCATCAGCTGCAGAGTCACCCAGTGGGTCCCCTGCCCACAGCCCCCTCTGCAGATCCATCTGCACCTGAGGTCCCTGCAGACAACTGTGTGAAAGTCAGCATGTCAGGGCCCCGTCTCCCTCAGCCAGGCCAGGCCCTGCCTATGCCAGCCGGCCGTGTGAACCCCACGCAGGCCCCTCTGCAGGCCCCTCTGTGGCAGGCAGATAAGGGCTCTGGCAGAACGGCCCTTCTTCTTTTTAAGGAGAAGAGACTGTGGCTCAGCCCTCCGTGGATACTAGGCAGTCTCAGATCCTGGAGGGTGGGGTCCCTGCTTCTGGCCAAGTAAGAGCAGGGAGGGACCCACTCCAGTCTCATGCCAAAATCACCTTGTATCCCCTGAAAACCACCCGGCATTAGGGTTTGCCTGTTCCCAAATCTGTAATGAAAGACAAATGACTTCTTTTCTGGAAATCAAAAGATTTCTTAGCCCTAACTATCCTCACGATTTCTATTAAAACCAAACCAAACCAATACAGACGGCCCTCATCCCTCCTCTCACCAGACAGGCAGAGCCCACCTCCTTGGCTCTCAGGGGTGCAGGTGAAGCAGACAGCACCTGCTGCAGGGGAATCCACATTGCCTGGGGCCCCCCGATTGCTTCTTAGGGGCTGCAAAGAGGATCTGAATAAAGTGCTGCAGCCACTCATCAGTCCAGCCGCTCCCATCCAGGGCAGCAGGTGGCTCCTTCTACAATAACCACCCTCGGTTCACGTTGGGTGGCATGAGGGAGGCTCAGGATCTCCCACTTAGGAGTGAACACTCCTGGCGGGAGAAGCACAGGCCACTGTGAAGCCACCACCCTGGCAGAGCCCCTCGGCTTCCTCTGGCTGGGCGGCTGTTTGCCCTCTTGGAAACGAGGTTTCAAGTTGCTGGATCAGGTTGAGGCAAAGACCAGGTGTTTCCAGCAGGCACAGTAGGGCTCTTGTGCCCTGCATGGGTGCCCAGCTCTGTGGGGTGTCCCTTGTCACCCCAGCTTTCGCTCAGCTGGAGTCCAGGAAGCTTCAGTTAGAGACACTACAACCAGGAGTGTCCTCACGTTGGCCCCTCCTCGGTTCATTCACCGCTGGACCTGGGTCCCTCATCGTCTCCTCCAGGAAGCCCTCCCAGGTGGGCAGGGCACTTCCAAGTCCCGCAAGACCCTGCTTATTCACATGGCTAGGTCTAGGGGTCATGGTCAGGGCCCTTGTGAGGACAATGACATCAGGCACAGGGACCCTGTCTCCCTCAATCTATCCATGTCCCTCCCAGAGCAGCCCTGGGAAGCCAGCCACTGACCCAGATCCCTCGCACAGGCCACATGTGCAAGCTACCTGCTCTCCTCTCCCACCTGCAAGAGGAGATCTTGACAGCCGCAGCTGAAAGGGGCCCACAGCACCGACTGCCCCAAGGGCATTCACTGGTGAGCAGGGAGGGCCCTCCTCCTGCGGAGATGGGGCCTATGGCCTCAGGCTGTCCTTCCAACAGGACCGTGGATCCCAGTAGGACATAGGCCCCAGGAGGGTGGGATCTGTTTACCACCAGGGCCAGGGCCTGTGAGCAGCTAGGGCCAACACCATTCACAGGCCAGGGGGAGCCCTACAAACAGGCCTGGGGGGTTCCTATAAATAGACCTGGGGGCTCCCATTCATAGGACTAGGGAGACACCTGGGTAACAAGCCTAAGGGGAACCCCCCATCTGGCCACAGTCCTCCTGCCTTTGGCCCGTTGCTGAAGACTGGCCTTACTGCCCAGTGCTCCTGGGTGTCACATCAACAGAGCCTCCTTCACTAGGAGCCTGGGCAGTTGAGGACACTGCTGGTTGCAGCCTCTCTAACCGAAGCTTCCTGGACTCCAGCTGAGCAAGAGCTGGGGTGACAAGGGACACCCCACAGAGCTGGGCACCCATGTGGGGCGCAAGGAACCCACTGTGCCTGCTGGAAACACCTGGCTTCATCTCAACCTGATCCAGCAACTTGAAACCTCGTTTCCAAGAGGGCTAAGGGCCGCCCAGCCAGAGGAAGCCGAGGGGCTCTGCCAGGGTGGTGGCTTCGCAGTGGGCTGTGCTTCCTCCAGGACTTTTCACTCCTAAGTGGGAGATCCTGAGCCTCCCTCATGCCACCCAACTGCGCCCAGGGTTTGAGACCTGGATTCCTACCACTTCCAAGGCCAAATTTGCAAAAACTCCCCCCAGAAAGTGTGCAGAGCTCACAGCCCTGGGGCATGAGCTCTCCTTAGTCCTGGGCCTCTCTGCTCTCAGTCCCTCCAGGAGGGAGCAGAGACCCTCACCTCTACACCCATTTCACAGATGGGGAAACCGAATCCTGAGTCAGCCCATATGCCCCACCACTCAGCTCCCCCAGACTGCCAGTGACTTTGTGTCCAAGAGGCCACCCCCGGGCAACCACCCTGCCCCAGATGTCACATTCTGAACATACTTCTCAAACCAGAGCAGCTCCTGCAGTTTCATTTTCCCCACACCTGCCAAGTTCTGTCCCCAAACATGCAGCAGAAGTAAGAATTCACAAAGCCGCCGGGCGCGGTGGCTCACGCCTGTAATCCCAGCACTTTGGGAGGCCGAGGCGGGTGGATCACGAGGTAGAGACCATCCTGGTCAAAATGGTGAAACCCCATCTCTACTAAAACTACAAAAAATTAGCTGGGCATGGTGGCGCGTGCCTGTAATCCCAGCTACTCAGGAGGCTGAGGCAGGAGAATTGCCTGAACCCAGGAGGCGGAGGTT